CAGCTCTAATGTATGTGGCTGTAAGCGACAGCATCGCGTCCTATATCGAACTTCCGGCGGTATGTTTTGCTCATTCAAAATAATAATCCCCAAGGAATGCATTGTTTATGGGAGCGCCCTAACCACAATCGCCATCTATCTATTTGTTTCTGGCGGGAAGGCACAGTCATCCCGATTTAAGTCGATTTAAGGTTGAAAGGCCTAGAACACCTAGGAACAGGGTTTGTATACATTGAGGGGACGCATATTCCGCTTATAAAGTCCTCGATGAAAGTCAAGCTGTGAGACCACCTTAGATACTCCTAGACCCAGAATTCTGTCTTACGCGGCCGGTGGTATTCGATTGCTACAATTTAGTTTTAGTGTATTTTCGTTTTCAGTTTAGTCAGCTTTGTTGAATTTAGCTTAGTTTAGTATATAGTAGTTGCTTAAGTATATTTACCTCACTTTGGTGGTATCTAAATAAACTAAAAACTAGAAAAGTAGCCACAGGACTACGGATGTCTGAGGTGGGTGACCAATTTAACTTTTACCCAGTCGTCAATGGTTTTGGATGGCACTTCCACAGCAGAGTACTGGTGCTTATGAACAAATGCAACTAGCAAAACAGCGGATGTGCCGATCCCGAACGTCCAGCTCATCTGTGGTTTCACAGCAGCCACATTCTTCCACCGATCCTTGACTGGCAGAAAAAAAACAGATGAGAGGATGCAGCGTATACACTTTCAAACATACCAAGTGATTCATCAAATGCAGTCCCTCAAAAATATCCCTTACGGTGTTGGGCAGTATGGAATCCTGCAAAACAGCTGAGTCTACTTCCTGCCGTCTTCCCAATAAACCAGTCATTATTTGTAATATAAATGAACAGTCGTCAGAGTCGCATCGGCGTATCATTGAAAATTACCTACAGAAGTGTCTCCTGGTTGGGGGGTACGGGCTCGAGCCGTATGAGCCGTATGATATTTCGGAAAAAAGTAATTAGGGAACAGCCGGAACCAGCCTACTTTGAATTGCCTACTTTGAATTGACAGTTTTGCTGATTTGACATCAAGCATGTAGAAGCTTTCGCATTTCGTGAAACTGAAAGTTTGCTTACTTTTTGACTTAGCTTAACTTCTGCTGCTCAGGAACTTACCCGATGTCGGGACGAAATTCACCCCACACATTCATTTTGCGGAGGCAGATGCGTCAGTGCGTTTTTTTCTCGGACATATATGCGCGTTGGTATAGCAATCTGTCTGGGGACTGTTAACAACTATTCACTTTTCTACCTTACTCACTCCTTGGCTTAGGAAAGCAGTCTGAACGTTTAGAGACAACGTCTTGAGACCATATACTCCAAAAGGTAGCTGGCTTTCGCGCGCCCTTGACTAAGTGGATTCCTGCAAGATATTTTATTTCCGATCCGTGTCGACTACATAATCTGGAGTCGTAAGAATAAGTCAAAAGCTAAGTCTCAAAATGTGAATTTCTGTTTTGGGGTTATCTCTCGACGTGTTTTTAGTGGCTGACCGTTGTGGTAAGCTTGGCGAAACCAGGGAGTAGAGTAACATCCTCCACAACTGAACAGACGGCTTCCGAATGACTCCGATTGCACGCTCACTCTTTCGCCTCTCGCGACTGGTAGCAGGTGCGCACTAGTGTTTGTCTACTGCAGTCTGGTTAGGCCAATCACCTTCAAGGCTGACCTACACAGGAACTCACTGTGACTACTGCCGCTCTTCAGACGCGCCCCCCTCGTGTGTGGTCATGCACTCGCCCGACTGTCAATTTCTCCCAACCTGTCCTCTACTATCTCTGTACAGAATACACTGTTCCTCCACTCCGCTGTCTCACTTCCTCTCTTCCCATACGGAATCTGGCCTGAAGATCGCAACGGCAGGAGTTTTACCCATTCACTTAAGCATCTGCGATAGATTACTCCTTCTCTGGCTCCCTAAGCAGGACACAGGAATCTCGACGCCCCGCCCAACTAATGAATGCTGTCTTGCGCGTAATTCCAGGAAGGATACATTTTCTAACTTCAACAACGCCAGCCCGTACACAAACCTAAACTGTAACGCTTATCTTCGCCCCAACCAGGCACTTAAAACTAACCTTAACTCCAGCCGCAAATCTTCTCTGCAGTTTGACGCCGACACCTGTGTAGCGGATGGTTCCTGTTCTCACGTACTGTTTAGGGCGTCATATAAGTCATCCTTATCAAATCATACATGCCTTGCAGAACACTCTGACTAATGTCAAGTATCGACCTCGATGTTGGGACTCCCGCAACTAAATCAAAGCCAGAGTCCTCTCGTTGTCGCGACTGGACTGCCTTAGTCTGTCTGTGTCTCACTGACTACTAACTATTCGCTAAAATCTGAATGACTGAAGGGCTTATCGACGTCAAAGTAAACTGCCTGGCCGCAACTACTGGTCAACTTCGGCCTCAAGCATCGAGTAACTGGGAACAATTTTAAAACTTTAAGTCTGGTCACCTTCTCAACTGGATAGAAACACGTTCGCTATTCCTCCTTCCCCCCTCCAATGGTGTTTCTGATTAATATATGAACTACTTAACAAGCCCCAATATATCAGTTTGCGTTGAGAAAGCCATAAGCCATAATTTCTTCTGAATTCTAACAATTTATAAAACTTATTCTTTATGGTGACTTCTGTCCTATCGCCTAATGAAATGCAATAGACCTAACAGACACCGTCGATGAAAATGTGCATGAGGTGATGTAAACTGACTTACATTTAGAGGGTCTACCTCGTTTTTTCCTTCTGAATAACATTCGGCCAATAGCCAGAAATAGCTATATCATGGTATGCCAAATGTCTAGCCGGTATACTCCTATAAA